CGAGGCGGGGTAGGGGGCTGTCCCCCCACTGACAGCCGCCGTGCGTGGACATCAGCCTCGAGGCTTCTGCCCATCCTCGATCAGCTGCCCTTACCCCACGGCCCAGCCTGAGTCCCGAGCCACACGGGAGTGGGTGGCTGAGCCGTGGGCCGCATCCCTTCTGCCCCCGGCCCCAGGCCTGGCCGTCGGGTGACGCCGCCTCTCTGTGTGCCCGCAGACCTCTCCCAGAGCTCCTCGCCATCCTCACTGCTGGACCAGCTGCAGACAGGCTGTGATGGGGCCTCAGGCGGCAGCCTCAACATGGAGTGCCGGGTGTGCGGGGACAAGGCATCGGGCTTCCACTACGGCGTCCACGCGTGTGAGGGCTGCAAGGTACCCACCCGGGGACGGGGGACGGAGGCTGTACCCACCCAGGGGACCGTGGCCGGGTGGCGAGTTGACAGCCAGGCCCCTGGGCTATTTGGGAGAACAGGGCTTCCATTGCCAGGCCTGCCCAGCCTGGCGCATGGCCCTGGATCAGCCACTGTCTTGGGCTCTGTGGGCAGCTGGCGCCCCCTGGGGACTGGGCTTCAGAGGGCAGGCAGGACAGGGTGAGGGTCTTAGGCTGAGCCATTTTCCTATCTGAGGTCAGGGTTTCCTATGTCTCAAGGCTTGAGGGGACTCTGAGAAGAAAGAAACAGTTCATTTCTTCAGTGGTTGCCTGGGTTCTTCCTCCTAAATGCACACTTGCCACATTTCCCAGGTTCGTTAAGCCACTCCTGGGATACACAGGGAACCTGGGCCCCTTGTACTGCACTGCTCAAGGGAGACCAGGGCCCACGTGGCGTCTGCTGGTCATGTCCCCCCACCCCCGTCAGCCCAAAACACACCAGGCACACGTACAAGTGCCCGCGATCCAGTGGCTGGAGGAAGGGTCGCCACGGGACCAGGCCCTGCGGGGCGTGCCCCTGCCCCTTGCACGTGTGTGTGGGCATACAGGCAGCACGCTCTCATGAATAAGGCGAGTTCTTTAAAAAGAAAATACACAGAACCAGATGCAGTTACGGATAAATTGCTAGCCATGCTACAATTTCATTTTACCAAACCGGTAAGCTTTAAGACATCTTCGGGCTTTTAGAACAAATATGACATGTTATTTATTTCAGAAACTAGAGTTGTTTACTTTCCTTCCTCTCCCCTGCAAAAAAAAAAAAAGGAAAAAAAAAATCCCCTCTTCCAAATTTCACGAATTTTCACTCCTTTCTGTGTAAGTGGGTCCTTTGATCCAAGGGAGTGGCAGAGTAGGCCTCCCGCCCTGCTGCCCCGGGCCCGTCCTCACTGCAGTCGCCTCTCAGGGCTTCTTCCGCCGGACGATCCGCATGAAGCTGGAGTACGAGAAGTGCGAGCGGAGCTGCAAGATCCAGAAGAAGAACCGCAACAAGTGCCAGTACTGCCGCTTCCAGAAATGCCTGGCCCTGGGCATGTCGCACAACGGTGAGAGCGGCCCGGGCCAAGGAGCCTGACGCGTGCCACGCACCCACCAGGGTCACTGCCCTTCTGTACCTCAGGCTCATGCACTCCGGCTGGCAGGGGACTGCCCGTGACCCCAGCTTGAGTGATGTCGGGAATCCCACCTCCAGAGCCTCAGCCGGCCGCAGGTGCCCCGACCTGGCGTGCGCAGCCCCGGCCAAGGCCAGGGAGCCCCCAGGCCTTCTGTTAATGTGGCAGGCAGCCCCCAGTATGTGACCGCCTGTGTCACTGCCAGGAGCCAGGTCGGAGTGTCTCATAGGCCAGCCTCTCCCCAGAGACAACCTTCCCTGCCCGGGCTCCAGGCCTCCTGAGAGCCTCGACTGGAGACCCCCAGGTGGGCCATGGTGGAGCACCCACCCCTCTGTAAGGCTCCGGGTTAGACGCAGAGAACAGGGAGAGCCTCTCCTCAGATATCTCCGTGGCAGGTCAGCCGCTTGACAAGCTTATCCACCTGCCCAGTGGCATCTGAGGGCGGCAGGACCTGAGCCCCATCTGTGGCTGTTCCGAGGTGGTGGGATGTGGCAGGTCTCCCCCTCCGCCTGTATCTGCCCCGGCCCCCCTCCACAGAGACCCCGGGGCCGGCTGGCTCTTCCTCCTCCCTCGGAGAAGGCAGATGGCATCCTAGAGTGATGGTGGGGTCTGGCCGCTGCTCTGTGGGTGCCGTTTAGTCGCTGCCGCAGTGCAGCACAGCACACTCACGGAGCCTTAGCCTCACTTTCTGATAAAAAGATGAGGTAGCTCAGTCACACAGCTAGTGCTGGAACTTTGTCACTGAAGACTGTCTCGTGCCTGCCGTGCTGTGCTGCCTCTGAGCCAGAGCGGCCGGGTCACGTGGTCAGTTAGGGCCGTGTGCCGGGCACTGAGAACGAGCCAGGTGAAACCCCTGCCCCTGTGGAGCCCGCGCGCTGGAGGGGCTACCCCGGCACTGCCACCTGCTGACTGCAGTGCTGCTGAGGGCCCTGGCAGGCTCCAAAAGGACGGCTCTGTCTGCTCTGTGCGCCCACTGAGGGACGGGGAGGCTAGAGGTGCTGGCCCGCGCCTGGGCTCCCGGGTGACCGCCCTTCCTTGTGCAGCCATCCGCTTTGGCCGGATGCCAGAGGCTGAGAAGCGGAAGCTGGTGGCGGGGCTGACGGCAAGCGAGGGGAGCCAGCACAACCCCCAGGTGGCTGACCTGAAGGCCTTCTCCAAGCACATCTACCACGCCTACCTGAAAAACTTCAACATGACCAAAAAGAAGGCCCGCAGCATCCTCACCGGCAAGGCCAGCCACACGGCGGAGAGTGTCACTGCCCAGCCTGGCCAGCCCACTGCTGCCTGCCTGACTCTGCGACACTGTGGTGCAGGCAGGGCTGTGGGAGCACGTGGGTGGGGGCCCCCAAAGCACGGCCTCTAACAGGGCCTGGTTTTCAGCCCTTTGTCATCCACGACATCGAGACGTTGTGGCAGGCGGAGAAGGGCCTGGTGTGGAAGCAGCTGGTGAACGGCCTGCCGCCCTACAAGGAGATCAGCGTGCACGTCTTCTACCGCTGCCAGTGCACCACGGTGGAGACCGTGCGGGAGCTCACCGAGTTCGCCAAGAGCATCCCCAGCTTCGGCAGCCTCTTCCTGAACGATCAGGTGACCCTCCTCAAGTATGGCGTGCACGAGGCCATCTTCGCCATGCTGGCCTCCATCGTCAACAAAGACGGGCTGCTGGTGGCCAACGGCAGTGGCTTCGTCACCCGTGAGTTCCTGCGCAGCATCCGCAAGCCCTTCAGTGACATCATCGAGCCCAAGTTCGAGTTTGCTGTCAAGTTCAACGCGCTGGAACTTGACGACAGCGACCTGGCTCTGTTCATCGCGGCCATCATTCTGTGCGGAGGTGAGTCGGGGCAGGCCGCCGCCTCACGGCAAGGCACCTCGCCTGAGCTTGGACGGCACGGGGTCGCCGTGTGGCCGTGGCAGTGGAACAGGACGCTGAGTGCAGGCCCTCCATCCTACACAGGTCAAGGTGGGGTTACAGGAGAGCCGAGACGGTGGGCGTCCTCTGTATGCATGTCTCTGATGTCCCGCTGCGGCAAATACCGCGGTAACCTGCTGGCCGTGCTAGAGCTCGCCTCACGCCGGGCACGGTTCTGGCTCGCGTTCCTAGCTTAGAGCTTGCACAGCTCTCCCCCATGGGATCAGCTTCTTCTCCTTCACAGGCGAGGAGGGTGAAGCCCGCGGAGACCAAGTGAGCCATCTGTAGGCTCGTGCACAGTCTGTGGTAGAGACAGGGTTTGAATCCAGGCGCTGGGTCTCGTAGCCATGTCACTCTACTGCCTAGTCGGGAAAACGAACTACTCTTGGTGAAAAACAAGAGGTGGACCGAGACCAGGCAGGAGGGATGAGAGTGCCCACTGGGCAGGGCCTGGGCCTGTCACTGCCGAGGAGGCTTGCTGTCTGTGGGCCAAGTGACCCAGGAGTGGCGTGCAGTGAGCACTGTGGGTGTGGCTGTGGCTGCGTGGGGGTGGGGTTCCTCGGCCCTTCTGAGACTCCTGTGTGCGCTGTACCCCACAGACCGGCCGGGCCTCATGAACGTGCCACAGGTGGAGGCCATCCAGGACACCATCCTGCGTGCCCTCGAGTTCCACCTGCAGGCCAACCACCCAGACGCCCAGTACCTCTTCCCCAAGCTGCTGCAGAAGATGGCCGACCTGCGGCAGCTGGTCACCGAGCACGCCCAGATGATGCAGCGGATCAAGAAGACCGAGACAGAGACCTCGCTGCACCCCCTGCTCCAGGAGATCTACAAGGACATGTACTGAGGGGTGGCACCCAGGCCTCCCGCAGGCTCCAGTGGGTCGGGCACTGGGGGAGCCGCTCCTGAGACTTTCCGTTGGCCAGCCGTGAGCGCTCGGCACGGCCTGGGGCGGCGGCTCTCAGACACACACGCCTCTGCCTCCCTTTCTTCCTCTCCTGAACCCCCAGCCCTGTCTGTCTGTGTTGTGTCCCTCTCTCTCGGTCTCTCTGTTTCTCTTGCCTCCTTTTCGCTCTCCCCTGGCCCCGCGTCTGTGCGTCTGTCCCTCTCTCGTTCTGTTTGAGTTACTTCACCAGCAGCGTAGAACAGGACCTCTGCTTGTGCCCACCTTCCCCGGGAGCAGAAGGGGACCTTAGCGCACCTGCAGGCTTAGGGGCCTCGCCGTCCCGTCTTCAGAGCAGACGTGAGCCAGCCAAAGAAACACTAAGCTCTGTGGGCCTGGCTTCCCAGGGAAGCCACGTGAGGCCTGCACTGACCACAGCAGCCACCTGTAGTCATGGGGTCCCTGCTGCAGAGTGCCAGGGGCCCGGGCTGAGAGCCAGACTGTCACCACCCACCCAAGGCCGACAGCCCGAGTCAGCCAGCAGCCCCAGCAGCAGCGCGTCCCTGCCTGCCGACACCCAGCACCCTTCCGTTCCGCACACCAGTCTTCCCGGCCAAGGTCACTGACGGCCCCTGCGCTGGCCGCTGGGGACACCCCCCGCCTGGAAGGGGGTGGAGTTCCCTCCAGGTGGGGGACACGAGCCCCTGTTGGAGAGGAGCAAGTCTCGAGGGAGGAATGGGCGACCGGTGGGGAAGGAGAGTAGTCACTTCACTGTGGCCCCAGGACTCGGGCTCAGAAGCCAGGGAGGGCTTGGCAGCCTCCCCTGTCAGCACCCCACATTGTGACCGCTCCTTTATCTGGCCAGGACGCTGGCACTGGCCCCAGCTCCTGCCCTGACACTCCCTGGAGCGGCCACTCCGCCGTACCCCCAAGCACTGAGATCACTTTACCTGCAGGTGCCCTGTGCCCTCCTCCCCCAGTGAGTGCCCGGAGACAGGCCACGCAGCCCGAGGTGGCAGGCAGGGCTGTGCTACTGTCCCTGTGCTGGGCCGGCTCTGCCCAGCAGCTGCACCCGACGGGCCTCCAGGACTGACACTGCAACATCCACGTGGCCCCGTGGCTCTGCCGCCACCCCCACCATGTTTGGCCAGCTCGTCACCTGGCACTGTCCTTGCACAGCCTCTGGTGACCAGGGACCTTGCTGGACCCAGGCCCTCACCTCCGGCCCCAGCTCCTGCCCTCTTCTGCTCCATGCGGAGGTGCACGCCCCTCTGGGGAGGGCCTGGCACAGCTGGGGTGCTGAGCAGGAGGGCGGCGCCAGCCAGGCTACTCTTCCAGGAGAAAACTGGCCTGCAGGGCCGGGTGGGCCGGGGTCTCCGAGCAGGGTGGCGGCAGAACTGGGCTTAGAGCCAGTGTCCTGGGTCTTGTCTGTCCTCCCCCACTGACCAGCTCCAGGAGGGAGAGTCCTGGGCAGAGTCCAGCATCTGCCCTGCCGGCCCTGTGGCCTTCCGCACCCCCCAGGGCCCTGCTCCCCTGGCAGGTTCTTCCCTCTCACCCGCTGACCAGCAACTGGGGTCCGGCCCGGGCCCAGGCTGTGAAGGGGGAGCTGCTGTGCCTGACGCTCCCCACCAGGCCCTGACCGGCCCAGGGCTGGTGCTGAGAACACAGCTCTTCTCTGTCTGAACAATCTCCAGAATTAAAATGTATATTTTTGCTAGGAGCCCCAGCTTCCTGTGTTTTTAATATAAATAGTGTATACAGACTGATGGAACTTTAAATAAATGGGAATTAAATATTTAAGAGTTGACTTGCAGCTGACTCAGTTCTTAGTGTGTGTTTCCTGGAGGTGACCGGGCTCCTCCTGCCTCCATGTCCAGTGCAGAGGGCGGGCATTGAGGGAGGAGACAGGGTGCCGACGGGGAGGGGGCACAGGTCAGTCCCTGCGGTTGCTGCCCGTCCTTCCCCTCACTTCCTGCGCGGCTCACCACTCCGTCGCCCGGGGCCGTGGAGGTCTAAGGACGCCATTCCTGCCTGCAGAGGGTTGCGGCCATGAGGAAGCCACATGCTGGAGGCACACGGGCTCGGGAAGTGCCACGGGAGCCCCGGGGGAGGCCGCGAGCCCTGGTCGGTCCTGAGTGGTACGGGGCCTTGAGAACCCAAAGCCCGCTTACCGCCCCCATGGCAGGTCGGGGCTCTCCTTCCTTAGCTGGCGCCCCCTCCACAGGGGCCTGGTCCGGCCCAGCTCCAGCCTAGTGGGTCGGCTGCAGTGAGGCGAGGTCAGGGTTTAAATCCGAGCTTGTTTATGCAGGAAAGCAAAGACACTCAACATTTCCAAATGGGGAATGGACTAGAGACTCATGAGGCAAGTTTGAAAGAACAGAGATCTAAAGGGGGAACGTGGAGGTTGTCCAGAGATGGGTCACTAGGAAGCCACCTCGTCTTCAGGGCTGGAGGGGGAAATGGCATCGCCCAGGGCTGCCATGGCTAGCACCCACTGACTGCAGAGTCTGGGAGGCCAGAGTCGCCCGCTGATGGCAGACCCGACCGCTGCAGCCAGGGTCCATGCACACTGCACGTCTGACACTGCCACGTCCACAGCCACCATCGCTGCTGCTGCCCCTGGAACCGTCCCCAAACTCAGCTGCTCTTGCCAGAAGTGTTGGGGGGTAGAGGGGCGGCTTCTCCCCTCTTCTTGTCTCCCAGTCTGTTGCTTGTACCACCCACTGGGAACAACAAACAAACCCACCAACTGTAGTCTAGGAAATGTGGATTGCAGACTCCTAGGCCCTGGGGTAGAGAGGAGCATGAACGTGGGCAGGAGCCAGAGGGGACCACAGCTAACACAGTCCACTGCCTGGCTGACACACGGAATGCTCCTCTGCGCACCCAGGATCCGGGCCTAGCTAGAGCAGGCCGTGGAGAGCTCTGTCTCTGTCTCTGTCTCTCATGAGAGAAGGAGGAAGGAAGAAGGAAGGAAAAAAAGGAAAAAAATGAAAGGAAGAAGGAAGATCGAAAAGAAAGAGAGAAAGAAACAAAAAATAAAGAGACCAGCAGGTGGCGTGGTGGTAAGGTGCTGGACACTCGCACATGGTCGACCACGGTTCTAGTCCCGGACCTGGTGGCTTGCTTTCTCACTTTCCCTCCATCTCTTTCTGTCTCTGGTCAAATTTAAATGAATGAATAAATAATCTGTTGCTTGTACCACCCACTGGGAACAACAAACAAACCCACCAACTGTAGTCTAGGAAATGTGGATTGCAGACTCCTAGGCCCTGGGGTAGAGAGGAGCATGAACGTGGGCAGGAGCCAGAGGGGACCACAGCTAACACAGTCCACTGCCTGGCTGACACACGGAATGCTCCTCTGCGCACCCAGGATCCGGGCCTAGCTAGAGCAGGCCGTGGAGAGCTCTGTCTCTGTCTCTGTCTCTCATGAGAGAAGGAGGAAGGAAGAAGGAAGGAAAAAAAGGAAAAAAATGAAAGGAAGAAGGAAGATCGAAAAGAAAGAGAGAAAGAAACAAAAAATAAAGAGACCAGCAGGTGGCGTGGTGGTAAGGTGCTGGACACTCGCACATGGTCGACCACGGTTCTAGTCCCGGACCTGGTGGCTTGCTTTCTCACTTTCCCTCCATCTCTTTCTGTCTCTGGTCAAATTTAAATGAATGAATAAATAAATAAAATTAAATAATTATTTTTTAAAAAGTAAATAAAAATTAAAAAGCCAGCAGGCAAGCGACCAGCAGAGCATGAAGTACAGACACCAGCTCCAGGGGAGGGTTCCCAGGCAGGATCACAGCTTCCTGTGATGTTCAAGTGTGACACTCCATTTTCTCTCTGCTAGCCAGCCCACAGGGCCATCTGAACTCGGTCCGGGTGGTTTGTCTCAGCCGGGAGGGTGATAGCCCCAAGGGAGCAGGAGGGAAAAGAGAAGGGGGGTGGTGGAGAGGAGGGGGGAGAGGAGGGCTCATAGCAGGGCAGCTCGGAAACTGGTCGCCTTGCTTATGTTGGAATCTTCTGATTTACTTGGGTCATTTTTTTCACCTTCCTAAGAGGAGAAAAATAATCAAAGACTGTGTGGGCCAGCCTGTGACATGATACTTAAAGCAGTTTGCATGACTGACTGTGCAGTTCAAGTCCTGGACCTGGCACCTTGAAAAACATGTCAGGCAACTATGCATGCATGCCCGAACTCCCGAAAAGAGGGAGGGATGGAGGAGAAGCGTTGGCAGGGTGATCGTTCTTCACGGGGATGCTTCCTTTCTCACTCCTCCTCACCGACAAGTGTGTTTCCTCTCTGGCAAAATTAAGAACAATCAAAATAGGGACCAGCAGTTAGCGTAATGGCTATGTCGCTAGACTCCCATGTAACCGACCACGGTTCGCGTCCCAGACCCGGTGGCTTAAACTCAGGCCGGGTGCGTGTACGTGCGTGCCCAAGATCCCGAGGAGAATGGAGGAGAAGGGATTGTGGCGTGGCCATCCCCCCAGGGGGTGATTTCATGCTTTCTTTCTCTCTGTCTGTCTGGGGTGAACCCCGCCATCCCGTAGTAAAAAATCTCCCCAAAAAAAAAAAAAAAAAACAGTCAAAATAAAAAGACTGTCTCAATTGTTAAAGGTGAGGCCTCTTCCCAACACTGAAGAGGTAAGAATACTCGGCTGACTGCAGAAAGGATACCTGGGGGCTTGCTTCCTCACTTTCCCCCTCTCTCCCTCTCTACAATCAAACTGGAAAATAATAACAAAGTCAGGACTGGCAGGTGGCATGGTGGTTAAGGGCGCTGGACTCCCACATGGCCAACCGTGGTTCAAGACCCAGACCTGGTGGCTTGCTTTCTCTCTCTCTCACTCTGTCCTTCTCTGGTCAAATTAAAATAAATAAACAAATAAAAATTTAAATAAAATAACTTTTTAAAAATATAATGATAATAAAGTTAAATAAATTTAAAAAAAAGAAAAAAGAAAGAAAGAGAGAGAGAGAAGAGGGGCCATTAGGTGGCATAGTGGTTATGTTGCTGGACTTCCACATGGCTAACTGCAGTTCAAGTCCCAGACACCTAGTGGCTTGAAAATCACACGGGCACATGTGCGTGCATGACCAAAATCCTTGGGAGTGATTTCTCACTTT